CGATCGAGCCAAACAGATTGTCTGTCAAGCAGTGGTCAACGAGGATCCGAATGCGAAACTTATACGTGAACTTAAAGAGGAGGCTAGTTTTACAGCATCTTATCAACAAGGATATTTCCAACCGGCCTCCTCCCAAAATTTAATTTCTTCAGGTTAATAAACTTCGCGCCATTCTGGAGGAGAAAGGTATCGATGTCGCAGCCGACGATATGAAGACGTCCCAACCCGGTCGACCTCGACAACTCTATTCGGCTCGCGATCATGACACCATCGAACAGCTCAAGGTACTGCAATTTGTATTATGTAATGATTCGGATAAAATTGAGAGGTAAGTTGAATCGGTTGTGTTCTGAAACTGCCAGGTCACTCTTGTACCGGCGCGGGTGACCGAAATCTTTGGGCGGGAGTCGATCTGAGATCTGACGGACCGAGCTTGTTGTAGACGGGGCTTTTTGCCACTACCGACCTTCTATGGTTTAAATCAAAGATAAACTGTACATTAACCTCCGCTGATTCTCATTCTATCCTTGCCGCATGTGAGGCTTATGGGTCCGCAGCCTGCAACTTTTCCGGTCAGAAGTGCACGAGAACGGGGCTGGAGGGTAGTGATATACTCCGTCTCCATACTCGTACCGCGCTGTTGCACGTACAACCACACGCCTAACAATAGCCCAACGCGCCACATATCTCTCACAGACAAGGCGCTCGGGTACCACTACTCAGCAGCCCCGTTTCCGTGCTTTTTTGAGCAGAGAGAGCGGCACGCTACTGCAGCCGCGGACCCATTCACCTGCAAGGACTAGGATCCCTAAGTTGTGTGGGAACCCACTGGGCTCTGCAAAAGTGTTTGACTCATCTACGACATTGGATTTCCTTCAGATTGCTTGATTCAAGCGATGAAGAACTCAACTTAGGCCTTTCAATATGATTCATGAATACAGCATAATATTGAAGACGATTGGGATAGACTAGCAAGAGAATAATCGTTAGTCAGTGAATGACGTAACGCTAAACTTTCCTTCGAGGTGTGACCCATTAAATTTTCATCGAACTTTCTACCCAATCGACCTACTCCAATTCCCTTGAAAACGTCAATGGTCCACCGGCAGCAGTCATTAAAAATGGCCTCCCCACTGAATGAGAGGTTTCCTCTCTGCCGTCACTCCATTAATGACGTCAGATTGTGAGCGATGCACCACATCTGTCTTTTCAAGACCTAACTAATGACATTTTAGGCTTCCGAGAAGCTCATCGCTGAACTGCATGAGACATGGGAAGAAAAACTGCGAAAGACAGAGGAGAATACTCGTCAGCGCGAGCTCAGAGAAATGGGACTCGCGACCACCGAAGACGGAACCACACTTGGTGTTTTCAGCCCGAAAAAGGTAAATGAGGTTACTTGAGCACAAAATCGTCGGTGAACTGTTCGCCATTATTGTGTAGGAACAGCGAGTCCGCATCAATAGACTTCGCAGGCGTGAAGGGAGGTTCCAAGGAAGTCGTGAGGGCTGGGATCAAACCCGAAGTATTCCTCGTTTATTGGTGCGCCGCTAGAAAGTAGCGTTGACGGTCATGAAGCTTCACTATCGTTCATTAACATCATTACTGAATGTAGGTAGAAAGCGAATGAGCTGAGGTGACCTTCAAATGATCGCAGTCCGGGCATCTTACGGGAAATGAAGTACTTGGGATTCAATACTACTAGGACGAAAATTGAGTCTCTTTGCGCATCATGTCCTTTTTTCGAGAGGCAATTATTATTATAATTCTTCACGGGTAATTATACCGATTTCAACTCTACTCGGTTTCAGCTTCCACATTTGGTCAATCTCAACGAGGATCCGCTAATGTCAGAATGTCTTTTGTACTACCTAAAGGAAGGAATCACCAGGTAATCAAGAGTTTTCAGTGGGAAACATCTGACTTGCCATGAGGCTGATGATGGAGGCTGATGATCTGATGGGCCAAAGCTATTGCAGCAGTGCTGCGTTGACGCTACACTTAACGGCAAACTGTACACTCACCTCCATGAAGGCTCCCTCCCATGTGCGGTAAGAACCGGTTGGTAGCTGTGAAAAAAAGTGACACCTTCCTCATTTGAGGGAGCGCGAAGATAAGGTTGATACCCGGATGCCTTCTAGGACTTTGCAGGCGCTTCCGCATGGTAAGGCACTTGCGTCGATACCAGGATCCCGCAGCGAACACTCAATCAGAGGTAGAGAACAGCAGGCGAGAGAGAGGGCAGACAGTTTGTTTGCTTGGCTATGGTTAGACGTGTGGCCGGTCAGGCGACAGCGCGGGCGGAATTCAGGAGCGGCACCCGGCTGTCATTACCCTTCAGCCCTGTTCCGTGTCTTTTTGAGCGAAGAAATTGGGACGCTGCTGCAGTCGCGGACCCATTCACCATTTACATGGCAAGCATCAGAATCTACGGAAGTGAGTGTGCAGTTTGTCTTGTATGGCCAATATGAATTTCATTTGAAGCTGTCCTGAAGAGTCGGTGAAATAGACACACAGAGGGAAGAGAAACAAGGGGAAATCTGTCTTTCAAATTTCCTTGCACAAATTCATTTTGCCTTATATGGACCCTAGTGCTCATCAATAAGTTTTCAGCGTTTGGACGCCCGGAAGCCACAAAACGTCCTCGAATTTTTACGTTTCTGGCAGCCGATCCGTGTAGAGCTTCTCTGTTCATTCCATTATCGTAAACCTGTTTTTAGAATATTCTAAACTGACTTGAAAAATAGAAGCAAAAATCTGCGGAATAAATTTTTTTTGTTGAGGAACTGATTTGCACCGAAATATACCAAACCTGACGTTTTCATTCCGTTCTCTTGCCTTCAGTCCCCCTCTAAAGTTATTGCTCGATTTCCTGAATGGGCAGTGTTGTTTCTTAGGCATGGGACTTGTCAGGAACAAGCGTGTCATCCTAATCCTTCCGGCGTTCTGGGAGACGTACAATGCATAGAGGATGAGCATTTTCAGGATGCACAGTGCTTCGTGAATGGACGTCCAATCAAAAGTCTCACTATACTGCACACCGGCTCACGCGTCATACTTGGCAACTACCACGTGTTCCGGTACAACGATCCGCAGGAGGCTAGGCAAAGTCGGCACAATTTATCGTCTCTGAGCGGTATGTGTTTATGAAGTCGGGACCTTGATGTGAATGAATCGTCAGGGATCTATGAAAATCCCTGAGTTTAGTAGGTCGTGAAGGAAGTCTAACGTCTTTTGATGCCTCTAGTTCAATTACTTTTTGTTCACAATGCTATCACATTCTATATCTTTTCAGCGCACTTTTCGCCTATACAACAAAATCGATTTTGCTCGTGAATGATTCCAGAGGACGTCCCGCCATAGTGGAACATTTTCGTAAAAGTACGCCCCCTCCCCGGTTACATCCTCTGGCAGGACCCTCCTTCCCTATCTCACCCACCACCATTTTTCCAACATCGAACCGATTTTTACACTCTTTCCCAAACTTTTCCAAAATTTTCTAGTTTCTCCCCAACTGTTGGTCTGGGAGGGGGGGGGGTGCGAAACGGGGAAAACCGCCGAAAGCCAGCAACCGGAACATTCTCCCTAACACCATGCCACAAATTTCTCTGGGGATCCCTGACGAACGTGGTCTGAATGGTTTCTCTGGTTTTCAGAGAGATCAAATTCGAAACTAGATCCGTACGAGCAAAGACAGAGTACTCGTTTTAATTGGCTATACTCACTTATCAACATAAAACGCAAAGCTGCGCGGGAGAATTTAGATTTTAAGAGAGGCCGAAGGCGAACGAACGCTTGCAACAGCGCTGCTTTGAGAATGGTATTAATGTTGGGATGAAAAGCCCTGGAGGATGATTAGGGTGATCGAGGGCAATGAGTGGTTGGCAACTACACTGAGAGCAACTTATGAAGGAAATGTTTTCGTTTTCGCTGATTTAGCCGATGTTTCGAAGGCGTTTCATACGGCGGACCATTGTACCACAGGAACAGGAATAGGATGTCGGAGTGGGAGCTTGTCACACGGATTTTAGAATGAAAAGAAGAGAATCACCCCCTCGAATGTTCTCTTTCCGCTTTCCTCGGTACAGAAAGTGCCTATGGAGATACGATTTACTCCACGAGAACCTCGCGCCACCGGATAACCCATCCCAAAGGAAGTGAACGCGCGTGGGAAACGTGTCTCCATTCCGCATCAAGATACTCTCTATCATATTCCAGCGGCCTCAACTGTTTATCAGAACCTTGAGCGCTCCTTACAGTCAGGAGGAAACGCTCAAAACGCATAATATGTTTTTGAGGCGGTGCAGCGCGCATTCAGCGATTCGATCCCTTCAGATGTCCATGCGGGCGATATGAACCTAACTTAGTTGAGATCAAAAGTTAAGTGGTAGTGGAGGACTAAAGTCTCGAAACTACTCTTTATTCGGGCTGAGATGAGCACATTTGAAATTTGAGGTCGAAAGAACTTTTTCTGGCTTTGACCTTTCTTATCATAGTGAAAAATCATAAAGCCGATTAAAAACCAGCGCAGTGTAAATTTCAAAGAGCGGAAACTAAGTGAGCTCAACAAAGTTCCCTGCGTGCAAATTTCGAACGCCCACTGAGTCTGCTCCTTTTTGATGTCGCTACTGGTTTCGTTCCAAATTTGATATTAATGTGAGTAGTAAAATGAATGAAGGGTGTCAGATTCTCCGGTGCCCTTTTATTCCACAAATCGAATTTTCAAATTCGTTTCAAGCATATTCGGCCAGTACTTTCGCTTCGCCTTCAGCTTTCCATAGGCCTGCAATCAGAGACGGCATTTGAGGGTATTGGCCATCTCTCTTTCGTTCCACACTTGCTTAGAAGAGTTGCTGGGCCCACGACCGGAAATACAATCAAAGCAACGCTCAGCTCCTCATCGAAGGCCTCTGCTGCCCGCACTTGACCCAAAGAGCTGCTTCTCTTCTTTTCAGACCAACCTCTCGATTGGAAATATGCCCAACAAGAGCTGTTGGAAAAGCAGGGCATCGATCTGAAGGCGGAGATGGAAAAGAAACTACTTGAAATGGAAAGCCAATACCGACGTGAACGTGAGGAGCTCGAGCTGAAAATGCTACGCCAGACTAAGGTCCGGTCTTTTCTTCCTCTTTCTTTACCTTTTCCTGCTGACATCATTTTGTTAGATGGCTAGTTGACCATTTATAGGAGTATGAAACCCGCATTGAAAGTCTACAGAGGCAGGTCGATTTGGCTCAATCCATGATCAGTTCATGCGGATCCGGATGGGAAGGAGAACGATTCCTCACTAGTTCACTGATGGAATTTGGTAAGTTAAAACCTTCGCATTTTAGTTGTTCTGTTCAGGATGTCATTACTCCAGCTGCTTTACTGTAAGCGCAACCGCATTTTGTACTGTTTGCCCTTCACTGCCCCAATCTTTCGGAATCATGCTTGATTTTCAAAAAAACCTTTCTCCAAAAGTAGGTTTGGCTGAAAATTCACAGCAAGGAGTAGCTTGTCCCCATACATCTATTACATCACAGCCATCCGCTAGGCCCGAAATCGCCTGGCGCCCGTGCCACCGGCTCGGTCACCGATTGGCTTCAAATTTCCCATTCTTCTGAATTGGTTGTGCCTCTGCTTCATCAGTTCGAATTTTGCAATTGCTCACCGGTTCATGTACAGTTTTTATCATCGCAATAAGTGGGGGCAGTGCCAGAAGTGACGGAATTAGCCCCCCCCCCCCCTGCTCATCCACCATCCGGCCTTGGTAGGCTTTTCCCTCCGACCCCCTCCCCCTCCTTTCTCCCCTACACAGCCATGACAGACTGCGGCGACATTAACTATACGTATCAATTAAAGACGGTACTGTCCAAGTCATCTGAGCCGGGACGTACTTTCAATCGTTTCACGGTTCAGTATACATAGAAATTCATTTCGTTATTCCTTGCAGCTGAAGAGTGCAAATGGACGACCGGTCAAGAGAAAGTGGCCAGAAAAGCTGCCATCAAATGGCGATACCATCAGTTCACTTCGGTGGGTTTCCTTCTTTTCAGTTTCTCAATTCCTACCATCAATTGTTAAGGTACTTTGTAGCATAAGTATTTCCCAGATATTTTCCGGCTGAGTCAGGAAACAAATATTTTTTTCATCAACAAAAAAAACATCCAAAGCGTCGTAATCAAAGCTCTTTGTTCAATGATGTCAAGGCATGCTGTTAGTTCGTTTTCCTTCACATGCCTCTCTCAACGAATGTGGAACCCAGCGCCTTTTATGCCACTTCTCGCTAAAGGTCCTCGGAAATCCGTGAATGCGCTATGTTTTCGCACTAAAACCGGCCTAACCTCATGTTGCCGAAATGGAGCATCAATGAAGGCTTCTCGGGCAACCTTTCATAAAGGCTTACACCTTGGTTGTTTCCCGAGTTCTTGGTCGCTATAAACGGCTTGCAGGAACCAGTCGGGTAATGACAAGAGAATTGTGATTCGCAGCGCCTGTAGGCATGTAGAGCGACGCCGCACCGTCGGAGACGAGTTCTTCTGCCCCTCATTTGAATACGAATATCAGTGGAACAGAAGGGGGTTATTATTAAGGGTGCTGAAGTGTTTCGATGCTCTGTATCGCCAGCGATGGCAGCAATAAACTTTATAGCAAATCCCCAAAAACACGTGAAATGGAATGTATATACCAACCATCGTCGCATTACGCCCACATCAAGATTTCCGCGTTATCGGCAGACGTTACGCTACTCGTGAAGGCGCGGCAAATCACAATTCCCTTGCCCGTCTCGCCGAGCCAGGCAGCACAGAATGTCTCTTACTGGTCACATCTTTGTGGGAGCGGGCTGAGGCAGCAAACAGAGAAGTGCTTTGAAAATCGTGCGCAGGATACCGCAGAAATAGGTGTTCTTGTATGATGATGGTTACGACTGTAGGAACCCAGTCTGGAGACTTGTAGAAGACTTATGGCCTTTGTACGTAGAATCAATAAAGGTAGCAGATTTCACAATAATCTAACTTCGCTCACAGAAAGACCTCGCTTTGGCGATTTATCGATTCTTTATTATTTTATTATAACTTTATTATTTTATTTTTTATTTATTATTTTAACCTGTTCTTTCACTTTTGAGAAGACATATTTCAAATTCAAATGGACTCTCAGAACGAAGGATCTCCGGCTTTTCAGGTTCGAGATGACCTGTGGGGTAACGCAATTTTCGTGAAGGAGGCAAATGCCATCTCGGTTGAGTTGAAAAAGAAAGTACAATTCCAGTTCGTCTTGTTGACTGATACTATGTACAGGTGGCGAATTTTTATTACAGTGTCCTACTATCATGTATCTATCTTATTTATCTTATCTTATATCATTCATGCGTCCCCGTTCACGCGTTTTATTTTCTTTGAAGTTCCAAAAAAGATCTGTTTCAAACAGTCTTGATAGGCTTACAGTCTTGTTCGGTCCGGATACTGGGCGTGTCAGCGGAAGGGGGAGGAACTGGATTTGGCGGATGCGCGCCCATTTTTGATGAATTGTTGTCGCTTGCACCCTTTGACAGTTGTTGAAGAATACTTTGGCGGTACGAGAGCGACGGACAATCGTAGTCCGCCGCGCACGGCGCATCGGTGTCGAATTCTTGATGTGCGTAAGTTTCGCGATGGGTTATAAAAAGGTCTTTCCCGTCCCTTCTAGGTCCAAAAAGCGGGTCAAGACAACTTCCATGCTTCTCTT